TTTTGTCGTTTAACATTATCATAAGTAGTATGAAATAATGGTAAATATGCCACAATTGCTTAGCCAGGCCTATGTTAAGTTCGCCAAGGTGTTGATTAAAGGAGGGAGACATGTTGAATATGTGATGAAAAAAAAAGAAATTTATGCTGCTCTTGTTAGTGGGTTACAGTGGATCGGGAAAAGTGTCTATGCATCATATAATAGTTGTGGTAACTCAGGCAAAGCTCAAAAAACAATTGATACAGTTTGTGCAAAAACATCAACTTATGGTAGAACATACTATAAAGTCTTTCCTTTTTTAAGTTTAACCAAGATCAATTAATAGTGTTGAAGATTTAAAACCTGTCATTTGTGATGCGAAGCAGCTACAGTGATTAATTGATCGATTTCTCACATTTTGGTTTTAACCATGATGCGAAATTCTATGGTTATTTTATCTGTTAATGAATGTCATCTGAGTAAGCAACTGAAAATGTGCAATGACAACTAAAATTACAATTCTTAACGAAGATTTATGTAAAAGAAAAAATAAACGACATAATCAATGAGAGATATCTTTAAATAGTAAATTGGTCAATCTGCTCGTAAATGAAAGAATCTGACAAAACAAGAGAGCTCATCATTGTTAAGACCATGCATTGCCTTCAACAATCATACTAGGATAGAATTATCAATCTAAAATTTTATTCTCTAGATCTTACTATCATGATATCCTTTTCTTACTAATATTGTCTATCGGTACATATGTATTGCATTTGACTAAGCGAATCCTGAAAAACTTTAACTAATACATTGCTTTAACAGACAGCTAAAAGTTAGCCATTGTCTGCCGTTTATATTGCAGAATCTTGTGAAGTAAATAAATTATCGAATTTTTTCGATTGTAGTACACATAGAAAATGACAGAAGAGTAATAAAACCAAAATCCTTCAAAGTTATTAGGAAATGTACTCAATGAATTATTCGTTCAAAACTTTTCTTATTTAAGTGGAGTTCATGCTGGTTTTGCCTTCTTACAACTTAACTGCGATTTTGAATCAAGACGGCCAAATTTAAATTTCAAAAAACCGGGAGTTTTCTTTAAAAGATCAGGAGTTTATCAATAGGTTTTTCCTTTAATCATGAAGACATTTGCCGGTCTTTTCTCGAAGGAAACTGAAATTTTCGTTCATCATCAGTGTTTGTTATACACTGTGGCCAAATTAATGGTCGCAGAAATTTTTCATCTCAGTGATATGGTATGTAAGAAAAAAGAAAGACAATCATGTTGTCCGTCATTTTATTAGTTATTTCACAATGATTTAGTAAAATATAGTGACAAAATACAAAATGAACTTTACGTAAACAACGATTCGAAGCAAAGCAACATGAGTACTTGTTAATAACAAATCAATAGCTATGTCGCTAGTGGCACTTTTACAATATGGCTATATTTTCACGATGAGAGACTTCGTTTCAAGAGATCTGAATCATTGAAAAGATAATTATAGAATACGGTATAACTGTAATGAGTATTCATTTAATTATTAATTGTGTATCTGCAACATTGTGACTCATGAATGAAAAATAGTATATTATCGATGGAACATATTGCATTTGTTTGATTATTTTTATGATCTTCCACAAATGAAGAATACATTCAATTCGAAAATCCTTCGTTTTTGAATTTTTGAAAAATAACATTTAGTTACTGTATTCGATAATGATAAAGCAGTTGTCAATTTTAAATTGATTTTCAGCAACACAGAATCGATAATCTTTAAGGATTGCAGTAAAGATCGTGACGTAAGATTTTCTTCTAATTAATTTGCCATTTAACTAAGATCATCTTCTTGCAACAACAACATTCAATAAAGACACAGTATGAGTTCTGTCTTTTTATATACAGTTACGTTAACTCTTGACAGAGGCTTAGGCTATTGCCATTGATAGTCTTAGTTTTAGGAAACCCAACTAGACATATCGTCTTTTCTTATTCATAGGTGCATTAATCAAAACATCGCGATATTTTTGTGTTTTTCTAATTGATTTCAAATGTCACCAATTTCAAGGTGAGAAGAGCCTATAAAACTAGGAGAAAGTCTTAAACATCAAGAGCCTCCTAGGTATATTAGAAGATTTAGCAATTCTGTTTTTAATATTGAATTTTCGAATTCTGTCAATTGTCAAATTTCAGATTAACAAACAAAGACAAATTTGATATTGTCTTTCAATATCATAACACGAGTCGGTGGGAACTAATATAAATTTCTATACTATGTGCCATCATTTACATCAACTCGAATCGTTTTTTCTTCGTGCATGAAAACTTTCAATGAATATATTCATACATTGTTATTTGAACTTCCATTTCTTACATATTTAATTTTACTACCAATTAGATTTTTCTGTAGTAAGTGAACTCTGGTGTAGCAACGAAAAATTGGAATGATTCCGTTATTATTATTAAACGGAATGATGAACAGTGTTTTCCGAACAAAAGTTCGGTACTCACTGGCTTTATCGGCTTTTGTCCTGACATCATAAATATGAGTCAAACTGGCTTTCGTCTCAGTTATAGTATATCGTTGCGACGATTCGAGATGATTGAAGATCCATTATTTGCTTTCGACGTATGAAAATAGACCAGTTGTCCCTGTTCGATGAAGATGATTAAGTTAGTTACTCTCATGCCGGAATCCTCAGCAATTATAGAATATGTTTCCTTCACAAGGTTTGAGCGTGAACTAGTAGGGCCACGTGAATCATGATGCGCAATACAAAAGTTCTATTTATCATTTCGAAAGAGTTATATGTAAGACAGAATAAACCATTATTAACGAAAGCGAATACTAGAATAACTTCTTTCAGTGAATTTACTCACTAAAAAATTCAATAATGTTTTATGAGACTTTCTCATGTTTCGTGCCCATAAAAATGACAAAGCGAATATATCGGTCGAATTATTCTCATCCTCATGCTGTTAAACGTAGTATTTTCAGGGCTCTCATCTTCTATGACGATGCAGTCCTTAACGGTTTCAAAGAGTGTTACTTAAATGTAGAAATTTATCCGATTAATCATTTTTTGTCAACTTTTTCCTCTTTGGAAAAATAATAACTCTACTTTTGTGTTATGTCTCTCATACTATTTATGATGAACTATCAATATCTCTTACAATATTATTATTATAAAGTACATATCGTTGAAACTTCGTCAGACGTAAACCGAAACGCAATATCTATCTTCAATTTACTTTTGATCCTTTCACAAGTATGACAAGTCTCGATTTAGCGGCAGGTAAGCATTTCTCTTGCAGAGTGTTGGTAGACTTCGATGTTTTTCATTTCCAGAAAATAGATTTTTGTCCAATTGATTAGCTTGATTTTTATAGTAACACTTTAAACAAATGTCACCATGATAACAGACTCCTGTCATACATTTTTTGTTATATCAATATCAAGATCTTTGTTCCTGAGCATATTATCGTTTCTTTTTTCAATCTCAAATGCTTTGATAGTCATAAACATGTTTGACATTTTGTCGGTTATTTTCTTTTTCTGATTGTTATAATGTTCATTGTTGCTGCCAATACACTTACTGGTGACTATTGCCGAGTTGTTCTTTTATCATCATCTTGTTTTCAGTTTTTTGATTTCTATAATAGCTGCAGCTCTCACATGATTTTATTTGAACTCTGTGAGGCACAACCAACAGTGCAACCTCTGTCCGATTTCTTGTAAAAACCTAATGAAAAGGGCGCTTTCGTCTCTTAATGTCTTTTATCCTACAATAGGTTTATCGCTGCTTGTGGTATCTAAATAACCGATATGTCAACAGCAATAAAATACTTCTCTGCTCTCCTCTACACATCATATCATCTCAGCATAATACGTTCAATGTTTAATCGAGACGTATTTTATCAAAATGATTTCATTAAATCTGACGACTGCTGAAATATCTATGATGATAAAAGTATTGCAAGGATGGCATGTAGATTTCTTCTTCAGTTACAGCAATAAAAACACGTATACCTTCATATACGCACACTAACATCCTTAACTTTTTCTTAATTTCTGCTGTGAGTGAGATGATGTATCCATATTTGATGTCTGTCATATGTCTAATTAATCAGCCAACTGAAAAAGGTCACATTTGATACAAGTATTCAGAATGAAAGTATTGTCATAGATCTAGATTACTTTTTTTTTATTTTTCCAATCTTAAAACATTATAATGAGTAAAGATCTCATTCTTTCGAAAAAACAATACGACTATGTCTAGACACAATGATATTTTTCTAAAAATAGAAAGGCTTACATCTTCCCGCACATGGATATATCCATGCTCCTATCCATTGAACATAATATTTTTTCTTAAATTTCATGTTAAATATTTTGCTTACTTACAAACTATCAATACGCAAAAAAAACTTTTCAATTCAAGACCTGTAGCGCTTGAGCTTATGTCAATAAGGATAAAACACAATGACAATCATCTAATAGCTAAACAAAAAAATACTTAGTGACATTGATCTTGCGTAGAACGACCGCATTTGAAGTGAATATTGATAGCACGCTCAACATATGACAAGGTTATCTTAAAAAATCACAAGATATTCAGTCAGAAACAATTTTTTTCTGTTATTTGAACAGAAAGATAGAACAACATCGGTATCATAAATTTATGAAAGTGCAAGCTCTATTCCTCACCAAGATGTTAGAGATGAAAGAAGACACTTAAATTGTGAAATGGACACCATTCGAAAGATTTTAATTAACACATTAATTATATCGAAGAAAACTGAGCAGTGGATTTGTTGCTTCTTGTATTTGGTAAGAACAAATGCTAAGCGATGATTAAAACAAACTACACACAAATAGGCGAAACTGAAATCAGATCAAAATTTATTTCGAATACAAGCGAAGTTGTCGTTTTATTCAGTATCAATGGTTCATTTTCTTTTTGTTTTATAGTGAATAAAAGACGAGCACGAGACATGAATATTGAATACTTCTCAGTCAAAAATGTCCCGAATATGTGGTGGTAATTCCAACACTTGTTGTTGTTGTCACTACATAGGTATCAGCACTGGATATTTGCTGTGTACCAACCAAACTAAACTGGGCTTTGACATTGTACGAACTACTGCTACAGGTAATATTTTGTCCACTAGCAATCGTCCATGTATAGATGATCTGTGAGCCATTATCAACATACGAAGAGCTTACTACTCCAGATGCAAATGAATTGGTATGACCATTGTATGCTGCACCGACAGTCTTTTGTACAATGATTTGAATAGTAATATTCGTCAACGTTGTCAAACAATTAATGATGATCTTTTCATCACCATACCAGTTGGTTAAAGATGATGATACACTAACAACACCTGTGAAAATAAACAAAAAAAGTGTTCGATTGAACTATTTACACCTACAACGTAGTAAACACGCTACTTTGCTATGTCGCACTTGATATTAAATGAAATCAGTAAATTAACTGAACTTAGCTTCTTGTTATCAAGTTCGATCAAAATATCAAAATATTATTGATTGATCAGTTTCTGTTTTTCTATCTATTTGTATAACATTAGAGATTCGGAATATTTTGATGAATACATCACCATGTACTTTAGATATTACAAATGCTGTAAAAGTCACAATGGATTATCCACAAAACCTACTAGAAACCAGACGACGCCATATCGTCTCTCTTTTCGGTATATATTCACTTGTCAGCAGTGTATGAAACAAAGGAGAAAAAGGCGAGACTTCCTTACTTCAATCTTTTATTGAAGTACGAGGGAAGTACGTGAAGTATAGGAGTCTCGCTTTTTCCCCTTGGTAGGGTCACTAGCAGTTGACTGATTTCAAACATTTTATAAAAGAAAAAACAATTTCAAATGAGACAATGGTTTCCTTGTTTTGAATATTAAGAGAGTTTGTATAGATACACTGAAAAGATTGCTAATCTGTGAAAAAAACTCGTTTTTCTTGACAAAAAATATCTTCGACATCGGGTCGAGTCGGATCACGAAGAATTGGTCCATATCGGACACTGTGCCACATCCCTCAAAAATTGATTGTAGTATAGAAAATAGATGTTAATCTATCAAACACAAAAATAATACATTAAAAATCCATGAGTATTAGTGAAAACATGCAGTATCATCAAAAAATGGTTATAATTGCATTTCAAGTCCGAAAAAATCTCCGAAACATTTATTTTTCTGTGTTATTTTCTACATGGTTAATGGTTACTAATGATTCTAAAAACTCAATCTCGGATTGTTTAAGTAGGAGCGATGCAATTTGGAATAAATGGTGCTCAAGATTCTTGCGTAGTTTGATTATGACCCAACTGGCCTTTCGAGGGGTATTTCGACGCCTCGATTTTGCACTGTCGATGTCTCCTAAGATACCCATCACCGAGCCCTCGATCCATCGGAAAATGGCAATCCGAGGGGTCGATTTGAAATTCCGATGGGTATAGCTCGTGTCTCAAAATTGCACCATCATAGATGTTTCAAAGTTTCGATCTCGTGCTTCTGCTAACTATCAATGTACCTACCATCAGGCTCTGGACCCGTCGGAATTTCAAGTCGACCCCTCGGATTGCCATTTTCCGATGGGTCGAGGGCTCGGCGCACCCCTCGCATGTCTTTTTTGGCTCGCTTGGGGAAACTGAAAATAAGTAAACTACCGATGTTTTCTTGAAGAATACTGAAGAAAGTAGAAAGGCTTTCAACATGTAAAGAGACTAAAGCCTGTATCATTATCATGGTTGTGTCTTCTAAGGTTTTCCATATTTCACTCGAAATCTCCCAGAAAGTTTCGTTCACTCACTTGAAGTACTAGTACTGACAGTTGTTGTTGCTGATGTAGTAGTCGTACTAACCGTAGTTGTTGTTATTGATGTAGTAGTCGTACTAACCGTAGTTGTCGTTGCTGATGTAGTAGTCGTACTAACCGTAGTTGTTGTTATTGATGTAGTAGTCGTATTGACATTGGTTGTTGATAATGTAGTATTCGTGCTATCCGTTGTTGTCGATGCTATCGAAATAACAAATGTTTATCTAGCTTAGATTATACAAACTTGTTAGTTGTTATATAGAAATCGTCCAGGTATCGTGTTCAGGACTTGGCACTATCAGATACAAAATAACTCTGAACAAGTCTTAAACGACTGTTTGTCTAGATTTACTTACATAATAATGTACTAACTCCATATACTCTTATTCAGACGAACTTTGTGTCCAGAGCTACAACTACGATGAGTTGTAGAGAAAGCATCTGATGTAAGATAGGGTGTGGATGTACGTATTCTCTTCATAATATACCTACATCCTCTTTCCAATTCGTTTTTTTTCTCAGTCTTCGTTCGTTTAGCATTGATTGAATGCCTGCATTACCTATTTTACCATTCACTATCACAATGAGTGAGCATCCTTTCGAAGTCTTTTCTAAGTTGCAGCAATGCCTTCTGCCAATTCATTAGAGTCCATGCCTATGACTTCGATTCCCGAATACGGCAGGAATCCGAACAAAATGACCTTGTTTTCTTGTCAATTTCCACTTCTTTTCGACCAAAAAAGACTGAAAAATTGCTGTACCACTCTCAACTTTTTGCAGGCGGTTTTCATCACCAGAAAAAGGAAAATCTACTGTATCCGGAAGGAGACAAGAGTAACCTACAGAGAATGACCCGAGAGTCAGTGATATTTCAACGAAGCTATACCGGAATTGGATCGTGCATCCGTGAAAACATATCAGAAAAAACAATCACATCCAAAATAGACTTTTAAAGATGTTTCACTGTTAAACTAGTCTTTTGAGTTGGTTTGTGTAAAAATAGATTGCTTACAAAAGATGATCAAGTTATGAAAGGGTATTGATTTATTGAAAAGACTTGTAATGATTTTCGTTCTATCAATTAACCATTCTTGATAAAAGCAGTGAATTTGTGTGGTATTTAGAACAAGACGAACTTTAACTTATGTTTTAGGAATAACTTTGGAATACATATGAAAAATTATTTTAACTAGTCTATTTGATTAAATAGTAATTTTAAATCTGTTTGATGCAAAAAAAATGATTTTCGTACTCTGAGGTAGCTGAAACACTTATGAACTATCCTCGATGTTATTGAAATTTGTTGAATAAAGCTAATTCTGTTCGGTTTTTTTGTGCAAGTAGATATTTTTCTTTATTGGATAGTTTCTTTGTCGATTACGAACCATAATAAAACAGTTGCTTCATTAGTGTATGTTTAACATGTATAGTGCTAAGACACTCTGACATTATCGAGTTCACTTAATTGCTTAACGCTCTTTTGTAGTGATCAAAAACTTGACTTAAATTGTCATAAGTGTCAATTTTCATCCGTACAAATGTCCCAAAGTAAATCTAGATATGCTTCTAACACTATATTGAACAATGAGACATGTTACCTAATTATTTTCATGCTGCTCACTCTGGATACTTAATGATTTATACGTTATCTTTAATACATCCTACTCGCACTGGTGTTGTGACGAAAATCAACAAAATTGTCAGACAATACTCATATATTCCTCTAGAAATAAATAGTTTCTATCTGTATTTTATATAAATTTATATATCGTCATAATAAAAACATATTCAAAAACAACATGTATGCATTCTAGAAGTGCTTGGAGTTTTCTATCACTCTGTGTAATACGAAAATAAATTGAGGAAGAGAGATGCACGTTTATCATCAGATTCCCAAGGATTTTATTTTGTCAATTTTTCATCACTATAGAAATATGTTTTAAGAAAAGTAAATATTTATTTCGATAAAGCTTGAAACTCTTAACCATCCTATATATTTTTTGCCATGCCTTGCGTGTGTGTGTTGTAACAGAAATGCAAGGCAAGACATCAAGACAAATATATAAGGAATGTTAAGCATTGTCGTAGAATTCTTTTTGGTATCGCCCTTTTTATTTCTAAAACCGATAGGATATTATAGTCCGTCTAAAATTCTATTCGATATTCTATGATAAAAGCTGGCGTTCTTGATTTTATGTATTCAAAATTGATCTGAAAGATTATGAAATTATTATTATCCATTTCTAATAGAACCATTATATATCTTCAAGTCCTCTAAAATGATGTATCGAGAAGTTGACTTTCGAGTAAAAATACATTCTAAATCTAAAACTATCGGATGCACATGAAAGCTTTTTCAATTGCCTCAATACTCATATAGAAACAAGGCCAGTTTCACATACATGTGTTATCTAGTTCCAGGATTTATTTGGCATATTCATATGATCAACATATGGTTGAGGAAGTTCTCATCTGTACTAAATATATGATATCCATGTACTCGCTAATTATAATCATTACATCTTACATATGATTTGCTGAATTAAGTTTGAAAGAGTCCAACAGACCAAATCAGGTCGTTATGCGTCTTTGTCCCTCATTAATACTGAAAAAACTTGTACAAAAGTGAAGTACTGAAGAAAAAAAACCTCTTCAAAGAGACAGCTTCAGCAATTATCAACTCATCTTCTTCTTCGTTCGAGACATACCTGAGGATATTGTTGTTAAACTTCCTGATCCTGATCTCAACCATAGAGTGAGTATAACAGCTAGAACAATTCCACCGAGCAATAATCCGACAAGACAGCATTCACAACAGGTTAACCAGAGAAAGGATCCTTTAATGTTGTTGCTGCTGCTTTGTATAAAATAGATAGATAGATAGATACATTTTTTGAATGGTCTTATCATATATGAAAGATATAGAGTTTTGGTTTTACCTATCATCATCATCATCATCTTTTGTCGTGGCTTTATTTTCGGTGGAATAAACTGGTATAGATGTCGTCGATGATGAATCTATTGACCATGCAGAAGATCGGAGAAAATTCGTTGTCGATGATGATAAATTTTGTACTTTGGTCTTGGTGCTTTTTGCCATGATCGATTCGGTTTTGCTTGTCTGATAAAAGTATTCAATGATGGCATTAATTCAAGAAATTTTAATTTTTCAGTTCGATTACATTGTATTTGTGTTGATTATATTCAAATCAGAATTTTTCAATTAAAACCTTCACAAAAAAAAAGAAATCTAACAAACATCTCGCTTGATCGATAAGGTTGATTACATTTCTGCTGACGCAAGTTGGCCTGTTTGTTATGAAGTTGTTTTCACATCAAAGACAAAAAGAAAATTTTACATATTTCAAGTAATGAGTACATTGCAATGAAATTCAGTTTGGATATAATAAAACAATATGCGATTTTATTTATTAATAAAAATTCAGCTCACCTCGATGAAATATAATGAAAACCACCCGTTGTGGAGTGTTGTGCACAAAATGTAATTTATTCAATCGATTGAAAATAAATGAAGTAACATATTTCTCGATGAATAAGAACGCAGTCTTTTTGTTTTTTTTCTTTGGATGGAGATCGACAGGGATAGATGTGAGTCTTCTCTTCACTCACACTACACGTCATATACACATCGCTCGCAAAATAGTTACTGTTTAGATTCTGGATGTTTGAATACTTTAGACAACGTTTCGACAATTTTAATCTGTATATTACAAATCAATAAATGAATATCTCTCGTTTGTCTTCAATGTTTATATTCCTCATCACGGGCTGGCCAGTGTCCAAACTCGCAGATTTAATCATGCAGAATATTTACTGTTCTTTCTCATATATAAAACTATGCTTATTTTTATCTATATTGTAAATATTGTGATTCTTTTTATTTTTTGTTATTTCACACTCATTCATGTCTACTTATAGTCAGATGATCATCTATTATTTGTATTTTGTTGCAGCACCATTATCTTCGCATATTCGTTGTCTCGATTCAACGTTGAATAAATTAGGTCTTAAAACGACTTGTAGCAGTTGTTCATCAGTATTACCAACTGACACACTGTTAATGAATTTGAATCTTTTCTCTCATTTGAATTTATCATCAAGATAAAGTTGCATCTGATATATTACTAAAAAGATCTTGTACAATCGAATGAAATTTAAAATGATAGAATTTTAACACAAAGTTTAATAGATTTATACATGATTGAACTGAAATGATACGATCTTCAGCTACCTAATTATATATCGATAAGATATCATATTGTTTGATAATCATTCACATATATAATGTTTTTTGTTATTCCGAAACAAAAGCAGTTCTTATTATTTTCTTCAGACTGAAATATTGCCTTTGATCGAGAAAGAGAGGAACATTATTATTGTTTTTCGTATTATAACAAAATTTTTCCAGTTAAAAAAAAGAAGAGAATGATTTCTAGATTATGTTTCAAGAATATTTCTTTATTTGTTTATTTTGAGAAACTTCAATAACAACATTATTCGAAAAGACTTGGTTAAAAATCAACAATTTTGGCCCACTCTGGGAGTATTATAAAATTATTCCTTTCTTGCACGTGGCTAAATCTGACGGTTCGGAAGGACAATTCGCTCAATAACATCAACCTTATGGCCTCTAATATATACAGGAGGTGGGTGTAGGTGGAGTATCGATATGCGATGTAGGTTTCAGTCTGAATCTTTGATCCATAATCACAGCCGACACCCACACCCATATGACATACGCGATTATTAGTGCATGACGGCAGAACAGAAAAAGAAAAGAAGAAATATACTTCAATGAATATCACTAAACTAAGTTACAATAAACAAGTCTTTCTCTTATGGTACGATTATATTGCGTGCTATAACATTATGTATTCACCAACGTCAAAAAAATTCTTTTTATGATAAAGACTAGATTTAGACTGTTGATTTGAAGTCTACAATCGATAGGGTTTAAGCTGACATAAAATTTGTTTTTACATGTCTCATGGTTCAAGAGAACCAAATTTTTATAAAATGGTCCCTATAGCGACCATAGTGCAAGAAAGGGTTAATATGGTCTAAATTTCTAGTAATTTCGAGAACTCGACTCTAAAAGGTTGCCTTATGCTTTACTATTCAGCATCATCAAATCCCATTTTCCACGCGCTTTAATTTAGTATAAAATCTTTTATGGATTCTATTTGAAATCATAGCGTTACTTCATAGAAAAACATTTTTACTTACTCTGTATAGTTTGTTGATAGGTTTTTCTTTACTCTATGCATTTAGAAACTGTCTACATCTGCATGATCTAACCTTTTGTATGCTAGCATTTTCAACATCTTTTTTGTTTCATTCTATTTTATGTCATCCGAATGCACTATATACAAATAGGCAAAACTAAAGTCAGATCAGAATTTATTTCGAACACAAGCGAACTTGTCCCTTTATTAAATGTCAATTGGCCATTTTTTATTTTATAGTCAATCAAAGACGAATATGAGACATGAAGATTGAATACTTCTTAGTCAAAAATGTCCCGAACATGTGCTGGTCACCCCGGCACTCGTCGTTGTTGTCACCACATAAGTATCAGCGCTAAATATTTGCGCTGTTCCATTCAAACAAAACTGAGCCTCAGCAACGTACGGATTACTTGAACACGTGATATATTGTCCACTAATGATCGTCCATGTGTAAATGATCTGTGTCTCGTTATCAACATGCATAGAATTAATTGTCCCGGCCCAAAATGTACTGTAATCATTATGGTACGTTGCATTGACAGTCTTTTGTACAATGATCTCAATAGTAATGTTCGTCAAAGTAGTCACACAGCTAATGGTGACCGTTTCCCCGCCGTACCAGTAGTTTGAAGATGGCGATACACTACCAACACCTGTGTAAATAAATAATAAAAGTGTTTGATTGAACTATTGGCAATTATAAAGTAGTAAAAAAACTACTTTGTTACGTCGCACTGCACATCGAACGAAATCTGTACTTTAGTTGAACTTATCTTCTTGTTACAGAGTTTGATCAAAATCAAAATACGATTAATTGATCAGTTCCTGTTTATCTATTTACTGGTATGGTATTAGAAATTCGAAATACTTTGATGAATGCATTGTCACGTACTTTAAATGTTAAAAATTCTATTAAAGTCACAATAGAATATCCAAAGAACCTACTCGAAACCAGGAGATGTTATATTGTCTTTCTTTTCGGCATACGTTCACTTGTCAGCAGTGTATCAAGATATTTAGTTTCAAGATTAGTTATTCTTTTTTCTTACTTTTTGCAATTTTCTCCATTCTGTTCGACAACCTTTTCATTGTCTATTCGATACTTTTAACTTCGTTTTTTGCACATTAATTTAGTTAGACTTAGGTTTACTGAATACATGGATACGCCGTTAAACACTGAAAAAAAGCAATGAAGAAATGAATGTGTACGAAATTCAATTTTTCTTTGTTTCGTTCTCGGATGTCGTTTGTTTTTTCGTCTGATGATATAAGTAGATTACGTTTCTTACGCAATAAAAGATTATCAATTAACTCTGTATAAATACTTCTTAACAATATCAGATTAGACACATGTTGTAGTATGATCTCCATAAAAGGAAAATTTGCATCTATTGTAGATAGCTATGAATCATTACCAAAAGATCATTCAATTATACGGAGATTGGGTGTTGTATACAAAAGGGTGTGGATGTGGGATGGGAGTGAGCTGAGTGCGGGTTCGGCGTGAGATGGGTGTGGTTTTGGGGTGGAATGGATGTGAGTATAAGTGTGGATATTTTCTACACTGATATCCACAGCAGAGATGTCCATCGCGGCGCTGCCGCTGCCGCTGCCGCGGTGGCGGTGGCGGCGCGGCAGCGGCAGGTTTTTAAAAAAAATCACCGCGGCAGCGGCGCGGTAGCGGCAGATTTTTTTAAAAGTCATCGCGGCAGCGGCAGGTTTTTTAAAAAACCATCGCGGCAGCGGCGCGGCAGCGGCGCGGCAGCGGTAGGATTTTTTTGGAGGGCATTGAAAAACTGTATGAATTTAATGAAATTTCACGATTTACAAATGAAACGCCCTGATATTGAATAAATCTGATGGACTAGTACCCATATCTCTGGTCAAATATAGTCACAGCAGTGAAATTAGAAACACTTTTTTGAAAATCGTCGCGGCAGCGGCGCGGTGGCGGCACGTTTATTTTATAATTCATCGCGGCAGCGGCGCGGCAGCGTTTCTTTTATAAGTCATCGCGGTGCGGCAGCGTCGCGGCAACATTTTTTTATAAACCGCCGCGGCGCGGCAGCTTTTTTTTTCTAAGGCCGCGGCGCGGCAGCGGCAGATTTTCAGCCGCGATGGACATCTCTGATCCACAGTCACATCCCACCTCCAGACACAACCGGACCCACACTCATAGTCATACCCAAAGCTTACAACCAGATCTCTTGAAAGCAGTTGCTGGCGTAAAATGTACATAAGCGAAGTTCAACGAAAGTTACAAACTAAAGCTAAAAAATCTATCTGATGTAACCAAAGAAATATTTGTAAGCGATGTGGAATTTGTTTAGTTCAAAGAAATTGAATAGCAATTAAATGAGATTACTCAGACGTGATTATGAAAGATTTTACAAACCCAGACTATTATATGATCAAATCAATGAATTGTGCGGTAGCTGCAACCCAGATTGCAATTGAAGGTCGGTTTTTGCTATTTTCTACGAGAAATATTCATTAAACTTTGCCCTAAACTCTTAATCTGAATAATGTCGAAATATGAACACTTTTAGTTGTATAAATTGATAAAACTCTACTATTCATATGATACGATAGAGATTTGACTCACAAGTTGTCGATGATGTTGCAATCATGCTAGCATATGATCCAACAGCAGAACTTGAGCCTAATGATGTAGTCAATAAAGAAAGGTTACTGCTGGTAGTAACAAAAACTGAGCTCAAGCTCTTACTTGCAATGGCATTAACAGACGACGTTCCGCCAGTAGTAGTTGTGTTTGTTCCTGATACAGTACTGGGTGTCATCGATGTACTGCCTAGAACTGTTGACGAAGAGCCACTGGTGTTGGCAACTA